TCAAGGCCCTCAAATTCAGCATAAGTTGCCCTAGTCACCTTGTTTTCTAAATCAGTCACAGCTGATCTCAGCTCTCCAGGCCTTACCTACTATCTCCTTGCTGGCGCTGGTCTTTACAGCCCAAGGGCATTCTGTGTAGATTATGAGAGACCTCATCCTCCCTTGAAAGAGAGATAAGCATTTCCAAGTCTTCTCCAAGTCTTCAAAAAGTCTGTCCTTTGTCTCCTGGCCTGCAAACCTGATTGCTGTGCCATAGCCAATAAATAACACATCCAACCAATCAAAGAATGTATATTAATTATCTACTGTATGCCCTGCGATATGCTATATACAACAATGACATATACTGAAAAGCTGTAGATGATCTTTTCCCTTAAGATGCTAACACAGAAAGCCAGTAGAGAATTGCACAGTGCTGATTATCAAAGCTCAGAAAGGTGACTATTTGTTGAGCACCTATTATATTCCAGGTACTTTAAATGTTTAAAGGGAGTGCCTCATTTAGTCATTCAGCAATGATGTGAGGCTGGTGCTATTGTTATCCCCATTTTACAAAAGAAATGGGATTTCAGAGAAGTTAGGTAACTTGTACCTAAGATCACACAGCCAGTAAACAGGGAAGGAGGGACTTGTTTCCCATTCTTGTGACTGTAAAGTTTTCATTTTCTCAACTACCCCAACTTAAGAAACAGCCAGTGGAGACTTCCTGGAGGAGGTGGAAACTGACCTATATCTTGAAAAGTGGGTAAGATGCACCTAAACCCAAGGAAATAAGAGAGTGGGGGCACTCTAGATGGAGGGAAGAGTCTGGGTTGAGCACAGAGGTATGCCTGTGAACCTGCTTGCTGGTAGACCTGCTGGACAGGAGCAGAAAAGATTAAGTCAGGAAGGCAGGGTGGGGCGGAATGATACCACACAGCAGCAGCTTCCTCCCTGAGGAGGAAAAGGCTGCTCCTTGGCCAGTTTATGCCCCTAGGAAAGTACCTCACCCTCAAACCCAGGTACAGAGAGCAACCCATGCCCTCTACTCCCATTTAGTCATTTTTCTCTGTCTTAAGCGTTGTCCCAAAAGTCACCTTCCCCAGACACTGAGAAGCCCATTTCTGCCCTCTAGACCTCTACTTGTTAAAGTGGTTTCCACTTACCTACTGAACAGCTTTTATGTACAACACCCCTTTGTGAATCTTTTTTTTTAACTCTCAGTTTTAACTTTTCCTAAAACAAGAAGCAAATCTTTGTTTATCAGTCAATCCTAATTTCCACACACCCCCGAACCCCAAACCGAATAGGTGTTGATGCTCAAGATTATTTATACATAAATTCTGAGTTTGTGAAAACAGGGTCACAGTTTCCATGATTAATGTTTTTGGAGGACTTTGAGATTCTTAAGGATTCACATCGGTTGGAATTTGAGAATGTACCTGCATGGACTATGGAATCTTTGCCTTGCCCAGAGCAGTGAATACTAAGTGATTTAACTTGGATCCCTTCCCCCCAAGAAAATGCACCATATCTACCGGAAATAATTCAGCACTGTGGCCACAACTCGGTGAGCACTCATAGTTCAGAAAGCTCAACTAGTCAATGAAAAGCAGTTTTGGCGACAATGGAAAATAAGGCAAGCTCCTGCCAAGTTAAGTACTTTGCAAACAACAGTAAAAACGGAACGTGTGGACTTATGACCATGGTCTATCGGTGCATTTCGGGAAGGCCTTACAGAACCCGAAATGAAGAATGGAATAGAAACTCAACAGCCATCTCCAGGGAGAAGAACGTCCCTTAAGGAAGGGATTGTACCAGCTGGCCGCACTACAGCTCCCAGAGATTTCCTGGCTTGCCTCCTGGCCCCTCCCCCTGTCTCTGGGCTCAGCAACGCGTGACGTCATAGGAAGCTGCAGCTGCCGATTGGCTGAACTACGCAGCTAGGTCAAGTCCAGTCAGAGGAAAGAAGTTTGTCTCCATGTGGAAACCATGTGTCTCTAGCAGGGAGGGGGAGGAGGAGGCGGAGAAACTAAGATCAAGTGATTACAGGGGAAGTGGCTGAAATGAAGGCGGGGAGGTTGTGCACCTGAGCCAGCCAGCAATGCCCTTTGCAGTAGTGACCTAAAATAAAAATCCCAAAACTTGCCCAACAAACAAAACTTGAGCCTTCCCCTCATAAAATTAATTAAAAAGCCAGGATCCCTACTTCCTCCCAAAAAAACAGGGACCTGGGAAATGCTGGAATCCTACCGGAACGCCCAGATCCCCATCCCTCCTCCCAACAACTGAATGATGTAAGCTTTTCGGAAAGCCGGGCTCAGAAGCAAAACAAGCCCCGCGCGCGCGGAGCGACCCGCAGTGCCCGAGCCGGGAGCACGCACGACCCGCCCCCAGACTCGCGTTATTGCTGTGCACACGCGGAGCGCCGTGACGCGCGGGCATTGTGTGCAGCGAGCAGAAAACAACGGCGAGCGCTGCCAGCGCAAAGCGCCCCAATAAAATAAGGCAGATGTAGGGTCCGCGGTTTTCCATTCCCACACTGGGAGGGGGCTGGGGGTGGAGTGGATAAAGTGGCCACCGTGGTCCGCTTCAGTTCGCAAAAGGGATCATAGAGGCCGGGCAAAGGATCGCCGGTAGTTTGCTGGAGGTCGCCCTCGATTGCGTGAGCTGTTGGGGATGGGAGCGAAGGCCTGGAGTAGGATCCCCGTAGCTGAGTCGGGCACGGCGCAGCGTCCCACGCTCTCGGGGAAATCTGGGGGCCGTTGATATCACGTCATGCAGAGCTAAACAGCGGCGGCGAAAAGAGGCAAGAGAGCTAAAAATACTCCCACGGGGAGCTGGTTGGGGGTGAGGGCAGCGAGGCCAAGGGACTGATTACGTACTCGAAGTTGACTTTGGAGCGTTGGGGTTCCAAGCCCCTCTTGGGGGCTAGCGAACGCCTCGGGAGAGGCACCACGAGGAAGCCCCTAGGCTTTCTCAGCCTCCGGAGCCCAGCTCCGCTGCTGCTGTCCCGCCCCGTGCGGGGCAGCCGGCTCGGCGCGCCTGGCCCTCTGCTTACGTGACTGGTGGCCACGCCGGAGCCCCGGCACCGGGTAAACAAGAAGGTGGCGGCTGCCAGGGAAGCCGTGGGGGGTGGAGTAGGGGGGGAACATCTCCGATTGTCTGGCGTTGAGAAAGGGTGGTGGGACACGGTGGAAGCTCCAGCAACCTCCTTAGAACACTCGCTGGGGGAGGGGGTCAAACCAGGTTTGCCACACGCTTCCAAGGTGCCCTGTTAGGGTGCACCCCCAACAGGAGCAGGCGCTATGGGATAGACTCTAGAGAACCGGGGACCCGGGGCGCCCCCACCCCCCCCCGCGCCGCTAAAAAAAATCTCCCCCTCCCCCCTCCAACAAAAGCAAACACCGAACAAAACCGTGTCTTCACCCAGATCCCCACAGGCTCTGGCTTTTCATAAACTATTCTCCCGACTAATTGCACAACGGACACGACCACCGGCCCGCCAATAATCACAATCTGATCGAGCTACACAGCCGGCGATGCGCCTTTCTCGAAACCGAGGCGAGCACTCCGAGAAAACGAGAGAGAAGAGAAAGAAAAGAACGCACCACCGACCTCCCAACACAAATCCCGTACGGCTTCTGAACAATTGTGCTGCCCAAACACGCTTACTTTATCCCGGGAGAACTGGCGAGTCGGTCTGCTAAGGTGTTTTTGTGTTTGAGGGTTGTTGTTGTTGGGGGGGGGGGATATCACAAGATCTGACACGTTGCAATCGGACCATTTTTTTTTCTCCCCTCTCTTCTCATTGATCTTCCTACTTGTTCGGACAGATTAAACAGCCTGCTTTTCTCTAGCCAGTCGTTCTATCTGCCCGGGCCCCTTCCCCCTTCTCGCAGCTATTTGTGAGGACCATGCAGGAGACACCGCACACGCGTGCCCCCGTTAGGACGCAGAGTCAACTGCCTGGGGAGGGCTGGGACGCCCGGCTGGCAGGGGCAAAAATGAAACAAACAAATACGAAAAAGGAGACCAGGCCGGGGTGGGGCTCCCAGCCCCTCCCCCCCACCGCATAACTCTCCACCTGAGTGGGGGGGGGGGTTAGTGGGGGTGAGGGTGGATGGAGAAATCTATCAGAAAGGCGTTTGCCTTCCTAGCGCAGAGCGCTCACTAGGAAAATAAAGAAACTGCACACAACAGCCCACACCTTCTTCCCCAACTATTGTTTCCTGCAAGATCCCAAAGTTTCCTTCTAGCTGCGCCCCCCTCGCCAAGTTTCCCCGTAGGACGGCGGGTCCCGCACGACCTGCTGGCGCTGCTTGGCCCAGCCGGCCAGTTTGGGGGGGGGGGAGCGGTGGCACCCCAGGGCAACAGAGGCGCAGCGGCACTGTATCGGAGGACGCGATGGCCTGAGCCAAGCCCTGCTGCGAGGGGAGGAAAAAGCGAAGTAGACAGAAAGGATAAGCATAGCCGAGCCAGCCCAAGCCCACGCCGTGAGGGGCTATTGGTGGCTGTTGTTATTGTTGTCGTGTGTGTCTTGTATTTTCTTTCTGAAACCGCTGAGCACTGCCTACGGTTTCCAACTTTCGGCTTCTAATCCTCCCCACCCCACCCAGGAACGAGCGACAGAAAAACAACACTTGTCTGCCCGAGAAGGCTCCGGAAAAAAAAAAAAAAAAGGAAGAAAGGCGACCTCGAAGAGATGTGCTCTCGGCTCAGTTGTCAGAAAACAACAACACTCCCCTGCTTCTCGGCTGGGCGATCCTCCCAGCCTCCAGGAAACGAACAGACAGACGCATGGACAGACCCCCCTTCCACCCCCCCCTCGCTCGTCTTTGTTACATCTTTAGCAGCTTTGTGCGTGCGTGTCCTTTCTCCCGTGTCATCGGCTTTACTGCCTAGTGCTGGATGTATGCTGGGGGGAGGGGGATGCGGGCCGAGCAGGCGACAGGAGTCGCCCTAGTGGGCGAGGAAGAAAGAGCCAGGCGCCGAGGAGGAGCGGGGGGACCCAAACTTACTTTTGTTTTCTTTCTCGATCTGCTCCAGGTAGCTGGCGGCCTCAAGCAGAATCTGCACATTCTGCAGAAAAGTGTTGATGTGCTTCTCCATCGAGTTCTCGCTGGTGTTGAAAATGTCCGAGAAGGGGCACCTGAGCTTGGCCCCCGCGGGCTCCTCGGGCTGGGCAGGGGGCTGAGGCGCGGCCACAGCCGGGGGCGCGGTGGGGGCCAGCCCTGCGCCCTCGCAGCGCGCCTCCTTGCGCGGCCGCCCGCGTTTGCCCATGGAGGGACCGGGGTCTGCCGAGCTCGTCCTCTTCTAGGGCTGCGCGGCCCGGCGAAGCTCCGGGCCCCAGAGGAGACCCGGCTGGCTGGAGCGGAGGAGGCGCCGAGGCGAGGAGGCGACCTGACTTCCCGAGCCTCGCCGAGTGCAGTTGCGTGCCTGACTGTGAGTGAGTGTGTGTCGGTCTCGCAGTGGGTCTGTGTGTATGGGAGATTGAATGAACCTACAGGACAGACGGCGGCGCTCTGGCGCCTGGGTCCTAGTGCGAGCACGTCGCCCTCGGACGGGTCAAAATAAAAGGTGGAGACAAGCGAGCCAGGGACCGCCCACTGCCCGTCCCATCACCCTTCCCCGCGTCTCCCCAAATCTCATCACAGTGTAGAGGACTGTATTTTAACCGGAAGGGAAAAAATACTCGATGTCTCTGATTGTACCTGTATGAAAACAATACACTAAGCTGTTTTTTCTTCACCTAACAATAATACCTCTAAAGCGTCCAGCACAATGCTTGGCACATAATGGGTCCCCCATAAATGGTAGCAGCCATGACGTTCATTTATTTCAAATAAAAGTTCAATTTAAAAAATCACATGTAATCGTCCCTCCCCCCAACACACACACACACACACACACACACACACACACACACACACAGGCAAGGCCTTGTGCCTTTAAAGGGCCAAATGAAATCCCCAGGCCAACAAATCCTGGTTACAGATTTACTCATTCCTTCTTCCTCCCTTCAAATGCAAAGTTATTTTTCCAGGAAGGGGAGGAGATGTAAGCATCTCCCCCCACACACCTCTTCCCAGCCTAGGTCCAGCTGTGCAAAGCTCACACTAGGGTGCCATCACACCTGACCCCCTGTAATTTGACAGAGGCAGAAGTGGCAGCCCAGGACCACCCCACCCCCACCGAATTCCACCTTTTGTCTCTGAAGACCCCTACCCCAGTTGGCATTGTTTTCACTGCTGCTGCTGTCACCTAGTCAGGTTCTGCAGGAACCCTGGATGCTTTCCAGGCCTGGGAAGTGCTGTGGGAGTAGAGGGTATTTGCAGGCCTCTGCGAAGTGCCATAGACAAGGAATCAGTTCCCACCCACCTCTGCTGCCCGCAGACTGTGTGAGCCTGGGCAAGTCCCCTAATCTCTCTGGCCTAACTTTCCCCACCTGTGAAACCTCCAGTAAGAGTCTTGTCCTGATTAAATTATATCTGTTCTGAGCACACTGCCTGACCCACAGTAAGATATTTTCCTTCCAATCCAGACCCAGACAAGAGCCTGAGTCCCCAGCTTGCATCCAAGAGAAAATACGTTGAGAAAATAAGACTCTTCTGCACTTTGTTGGAAAATGTCTCTGCAACAGCCCATCTAAATATCATCATCTTGCAAGGCCACCGAGAGTTTTCCTCCAGAGGAACTATTTTCATAGAAAAAGATACACGCATGGTGCCCATTTATAGAATTGATATAAACAAGATATAACTCTGTTTATATCAGTTAGCCAATGAAAATTTTGGTTTTGTTATATGTCATTTTGCTTAAAGTCACAGAACCTATTAATATTAACAGCTTAGGTGAGGACTTGCTCTTTACTAATAACAAGCTGCCAGTGTGACAGGAACCATCAGTAATTGACATTTTGAAGCCAATGTCTTCCTAAGAGCTGTGAGATAAAAGTTCATCTTCCAATATCATAACAGTTACCTTTTTCATATTCATGTTTAAAAGTCTACAAATGTCTAAGGGCTTTAGGAAGGTACAGTTTCAAACAAGTTTTACCCAATACCATTTTGCAAAAACTGGCACTTGTGTGAAACAGCCCTGATCTCCCTGGCCCTAAATGAAAAGTGATAGTGAGACAATGAACTATAATTTTGGGGGAGCCCAGGGGAGCCCAGCCCCCAAACACCTTGGTCTCTCTAATTCCCAGGTAGAAGCCTGGGCCAAGGTACATATATGCAGTCCTGTGACCAACCTGTATGTGTACACCTGCATGCACACACACACACACACACACACACACACCTCTGAGGTCGGCACACCCCACACATGAGTGCATGAGTGGTAGTAGGGGGTTGTGTAATTATTTATTTATCTTTATTTCATCTCTTATAGGTCTCTGAGCTTCAGAAAGCCCAGTGGGAATCTTCACGCTGGGCGGTGGATCTGACTAAAGCCAAAGTAAACAATGGCTTGAAGAAAATCTACAAAAAAGTGCTGATTTGCACTATTCCCACAGTCGGCCACAGCCCCCCCCCCCCATCATTCCCATGGAAAACACCACTGCTGGTGCCAAATCAAGTTTCCCCCCCATCATAGGGGCATTGTTTTTTGTTATTATGTGAGTTCTTAGCACCAGACAATGGCACCACAAGAGACACAGTGGAGGCAGGAGAAATGCCTTTTTGTTTCACAAAGTCTGTGCTATTGTGCCCCAGAGTCTCACATATAGTTTAGTTGCATACATTCATTTTGGTAACACATATGTGGAACGATGAATGTGCCAAGCGAAAGCTCAAAGCCCCTTTCTTATTTTTTCAGAGCCCATCAAGTGTTAAATCATGTTAGCATCATATTGCTCTCCCCCTTCTTCCCCACTACCCCCAATTAACAGATTTCTCCAGTGAAGTTGGCCTCAACAGAAAGAGTGGTGTTTCAGAGGTTATATCATGGGGCAGGCATCCAGGATGCTGGGTTACAAGCTCAGCTCCATTCCTGATTTGCTTTGCTTCCCAGGAGAAGCCATTCAAACCCTTTGCACCTCACTTTCTCCAGGGCTTTGACTCCATAAATAACTAGGCCTCTTTGGAAACTGGTTGAGAATTTCTGCCGAGGACAGGTAGGGGAAGAGAAGGCAGGCAGCCAGCCTGATAAGAACATGTCAACTCTTTGAAAGGAAAGCCCTGACTTTTCGCAGTGCCCAGGAAGGCCAGCCATGATACTCCTAATGACCCAAGGCATCTCTGGGTCTGCTCAGCATGAATCTTATCTTCTCAACTTTCTTTTTCTTTGTTTGGTCTATTTGCCTGTTTGGTAATGTTTTTTCCATCAGCCTTATTAAAGCAACGTCACTCTTTTATTTGCCCCTCTTTCCCCCCAGACATTCTATATACTCTTACATCAAAGGACTTGTTCTGTCTGTAATTGTGTCTTTGGGTGCACAGAACCTGGTTAATTACTGAGATGGTGCTAGGAGAGTTGCCCCCAGACATACCCATCCTGCAATTGGATGCAATGCCTTTCCTATCCTGGACCATTCTGGCTCTCCTGGGCTCCTTATTTCTGCTTTTCCTCCTTACCTGTTCTCCCCTCACTAGTGCTTTTGGCCTAAATCTCTCCATCCAACATCTAGCTTTCCTTTGGACCTTGCCAGCATGGCCAGTTCAGGTTCTTCCCTGCTCTGTGACCTGTGGTCTTTGTACTCAGGCTTGGTAAATACCATCAAGCAATCTTCTGGCCCTGCAGGGGTGGCTAGGTTGGTTGGAGCATCAACTGTGCACCAAAAGTTTGTGGGTTTGATCCCGTCAGGGCTCACACAAGAGGCTATTGATTGATGTTTCTCACATCCATGTTCTTCTCTCTCCCTTCCTCTCACTCTAAAACCAACAAATATATCCTCAGGCAAGGATTAAAGAGACAGAGACAGAGATAGAGATCTGTCTTCTGTATTGTCCCTTGAGTCCTAATCCCAGAGCTTTCCCAGCCAAGTTTTTCCTGGGTACATTTCTCCCTGGAAAGGGATCATCCAGCAGCAAGCTGAGGAGCTAGCTCAGGGCAATTTCTCTCCTTAGAAGTCTTCATCTTGTCCTCAGCTATTAGAAGGAAGAAGTGGCTTTAAGGTAAGCACAGGACTTGAGAGGCAGGGGCTGTAAGACACAAGTAGCATCGCAGGAGCAAGGAGAACTGTGGGACTCTGCCTATCCCAGTGGCTCCTGGAACAGCCTTAAAAGTGCTGACCAGGCCTCCTTCAACCACTCCCCAGGCCCCCACCCCCACCCACACACTCATCAGCAGGTGTAGACATGGGCAGAGGATAAATAGCCTCCACCCTACACTGGAGCTAGCCCAGGTGTCACCTGGTCCTGAGGCATTATCTCTGCTCTTCTGGACTCTGCCTTCCCTCTTCCTGGACCTCTGAGGTTGGCAGGCCTTTCCTGTCTCAGCCAACTCCTGGGCTTCTATACAACACCCAGTACTTACAGGGTTCATTAGACTATGAGCTCATCAAGGACAGGAAACACGCCTCGCTTCCCTGGCGTTCCCAGCCCCTGGCACTTGGCACAGCTCATGCATCACACCAAATGGGGGCTGAGGCCAGGAGGGTCGTAGGCATGAGTGCCCTTTCCTGCCTGGCTGGAATCTTCATGCTGGACCTTCATGGCTTCCCGGCTGCAGCGTGGCAAGAGGAGGCATTTGACACTGTCTGTAAAACTATTTCTGAGTCACTCACATTAAAGTTTAAATATCAAGATCTTGTTTGTCTCCATGGAGAAGCCAGAAACCCATTGAGCCAGATGACTGAAGTTCCCTTCCCAAAAAGTACAGAGGCTCAGCCATACTCTCCCCTGTCCTTACTGCTTTGCCGATATGGTGGCCTGATGGGTCTCCTCTGTAATAAGATGCCTCTAATGGAGAATTTTCAAAAATCACCAGGCAATAAAGGCTGTGGCTAGAGATCATGGTGGGAGTCACACACAGCTCACTTTTTTACATCTTCTCACTCTGGGGTGTGTTCTAGATGAATCTTTTGGGACCGTACTTTCTATAATATCTCCATATTTTTTAAAGGGAATTCATCAAACATTCTAAATTCATGTACATTAAGGTACCAGTGAATAACATGAGCTTAAATACGATCATTCCCAGAGGCATTTGGCATGAAAAGGTGGCCAATGCCTTAAGCTAAAAGAATTATTTTCAATTCCCACCCAAGGACATGTTCCTATTGACTTTTTAGAGAAACAGGGAGGGAGAGAAGGAGAGAGAGAACACGAGCGTGTGAGATGTGAAAGAAAACATCAATTGGCTGTTGTCTGCGTGGCAACCAGGATCAAACCTGGAACAAAGAATCGAACAGGCGGCCTTTCAGTGCACCAACCCATGCTCCAACCAACTAAGCCGCATGGCCAGGGCTAAAAGAATAAAGTTTTAGTGATGAAATTTTAGGTATCAGGTGATGGAAGGGAAAGGTATCTGCAGGTGGCAAAAGATCTTCCTCCTGATTGTTAGTTGGATGACCTTGTGCAAGTTGCTTAACCTTTCAGAGCCTCAGCGCC